TGAAAGCCTGTCAGAGTTTTCTTCTGTCCCCTCTTATACCAGGGAGAATCAAGATGGGGTAACCTTGAGTTTCTTTCTCATCCCCTCCTCTTTCTCAGGGCTAAATTGTGGTTTATTTAATCCCTCTTGCATTCTTTCTTCAGGGTTATCTCCATACGCCTCTACAATTTTGTCAGGCTGTTGTCTTTTTTATTGATTGTAAACTGGAGTAACTGTTTAGACCATGAGCATGTGCTCTGTGGATTGTGGGGTGTGTGTGTTTGTGTGTTTTAAATTGTGTTGTTTTCCCTTTTTGTTTTTAACCTTCGGTTCGCTGCTCAGAGTCACTGCTGTGAGATGGGCAGCAATATAAATTGTACGAATGAATAAATGAATGCTTATAATCCCTAGAAAAGTGAGAAGTGAATCCAAAGATGTTTTCATCTCCCTTACGTATGTACATGAAATTATATGCTCCTCTAAGGTCCAACTTGGTAAACACCCAGGGATTTTGGAGGTGGTCTAGAAGTTCTGAAATGAGTGGCAATGGGTAACAATTGTGCACAGTAATCTGGCTCAGTTGATGGTAATCATTACAAAGCCTAAATTCTCCAGATTTCTTTTTTACAACAATACAGGAACCAATGTAGGAGAAGACGAGGGTTGGATAAATCCCCTTTTCAAATTCTTGTTGATGAAGTCCCTCAGGGCTGCCAGCTCTGGTTCTGACAGAGAGTAGAGGTGACCTACTGGTATCTTAGCCCCTGGCACCAGATCAATATGGCAGTCGTACAGTCAGTGTGGTGGCAACTGATCTGCTTCCTTTTCACTGAATACATCTGCAAAGTGTTAATATTTAATGGGAAGGGTGAGGGGTGTATCTCCTTGTTTTGCTGCTAGGGTTGCAGGAAAGGTAGTCATGTGATTGTTCCAACAGGGGGCAGTGAAAGTGATGATTCCTGTAGACCACACAATTTGTGGATCGTGTGCTTGTAGCCACTCCAGGCCCAGGACAATTGGAAAGTGGGATGTTGAAGCAAGGTGGAACTCAACCTTTTCCTGGTGAGTTCCCAGTTGTGTGCTCAATGGTATTGTGGCCCAAGTAGTAGGCCTGACCATAGAAGGTGACTGTTGATTTTCTCGACCATTAGGGGTGGCTGGATGGCATGCTTTGGAATGCCATGGTCTGCTATGAACTGGAGATCCATGAAGTTGGTTGTAGCTTCAGAATCTATCATAGCCCATTAATAGGGAACTTTCTCCTCCACTTGAAGTTCCACAGTCACCACTAAGTGTCTGGTGGATGTTACTCGGGCGTTTGGTTCTGACTTGCTAGTAACTGGCCCCAGTCTAGTAAGCCCTCTAGGCCAGGCCCCCTCCCCTTTTCCCAACATAGTGGGGGGTGGTGGTGCCTTAATAGGACATGTGGCAGCCATATGGCCCCGGCCCTCACAATATAAGCATAGCTCCTCTCTGTATTGTTCAGTCTTTTCTTCTGGAGTTAACTTTGGGCAGCCCCTACCTACATGCATAGGCTTCTCTGTTGCAGGAGGCACAGACCTGGTAAATGGAGGCAGGTCTGATCTTTTAGAAGCTTGAATTCTGGACCTTCATTGCTATAGATGCCCACCTATATGTAGGCAGAGCTGCATGAGACATTGAAGGGTTTCAAGCCTTGTTCAGTTTGAGCCAATTCATCAAGGAGTTCATCTGATAGACCTTCCTGAAACTGGTCAACCAGAGCTGCATCACTCCAGTCCAAATCTTGGGCTATTAACCTAAAAGCACTGATGTACTCAGCCACTGGGCCACACCCTTGCTTCAATTCACAGATGTGCCTGTTGGTAATCT